CTGTGGATTTCCCCAGTTTCCCTTCCTGGTGCACTAACCTGATTCTCGGAAATGGTTATGACGTCCTGGAAGACAGTCCAAGTGACGATCTCATTGCATGTGGGCGTCGTCAAGGAGCCTGAGTACCTGTAGAAGGTGTTGGTGTTCGCCGGCAGGCAGGTTTTGGAGAGGGAACATTGTTGCCAGGTGTTCCTCGTCACCTGGAGTCAGACCGATAGTAGAAATCGTTACAAGCGTAGGCAGATATAAATTCCGAAGGCGAACCTGTGTCGCCTTTGTGTGATGCGATCTATCATCAAATAAGACTTGGGTTAAACCGCTCTTTGTGTTGCTTACTTATGAAACAAATGAAAGCATGCTAAAAAGACGCCACATTCCCGATAGAACTGCCCTAGGCTTTAATCTCGTAATCCTGTTGTTACTTGTACTAACCTGAATTTGGGATGGTAGCGAGCCCGTCGATGATTGGTTTGAGATTGGGGTTGTCGATCAGACCGCCCAGGAGCATAATGCCCAACACAGCAAGACCGTCATCGTACTGAACCGCGTTGCCAAGGGAACCGTACTCAGTCTTGAAGTGCACCAGGTGAAGCTCGGCAGCGTATCTAGACGGAAATGCAAACAGTATTCATATGCAGGTGAAGTATTCGTGGCATACATCAGTACATTGAAAAGTTCCACTTCTGAAACTCTTTAATCTTTCTTTAACTTACGCGATCCCATTGATGGTGTGCTCAGATCCCTGCGTGCTGACGCTGCCCCAGTGGAAGTGCAACTGGGCGAAAGTGTATTTTCCGCCCAACTCTCCGCCGCTGACTGAGGGAAGCTCATCGACGTCTGTGATGTTCCACGCAACCTTAGCTGAAGGAGGAAGGATAAACAGGCTTCTTAAATTACTTAGGATAACGCACACTGGATCCAAAATACCGGTCTCTACGTTTATATGAAAAAAAAGGTGAGGTATGTGAAACTTTTATTCATATTGGAATCTTCTGACCCAATACTATGATACTATGATAGCTATGATCTCTGTGGAAGCAATTAGGGTTGATTTTAGTGATTCTTCGAAATTTGATTTATCATTCTTAGGTTTTGGAAGTTGACATTGGTATTCATTGAATCCTCCAAAAAGAATGTGCTTCGTATCAAACTTGGTAATGTCAGATCATAAATGTGGTTATGTGTGTGTGTGTTTATGTGTGTGTGTGTGTACATGCATATATATGTCATATATATATGTATATATATATATAATATATATAATATCTTAAAAGGGTATTATTACTAGACTGTTTCCTTCTCACTCTCTCCCTCTCTCCGTCTCTCACTCCATTCTTGGCCGGTGGACATCAGGAAGAGTTAAGACAAGGTGATCTTCTCGACCTGAGGAGAAGCATAACCATTGTTAAGACATTGACATTCACTGGAATTCAAGAATTTTAGCAGTGGTTCTGTTGATAAAACATTTTCATCTTTTCCCTGTAACCCTCTTTTTCTACCATTTCTTCTGACTCACCGTACGGCCGTTGAGGGGCTGGACAGGGCGGTAGTTGTCGACAATGTGGTGCTCTCCGTCGTCTCCGAGAAGCTTGCGGAATTCCTCAAGCTGGGGGAAAACAGGCAGCATTAAAGCACTGATATTGCCTTTATACCTACTAAACCTAGGCTTGTCAGAATTATCTTTATAGCTTTCATTATACTTATGATGAGTTTGTCATCATTTGTATAGTTGATTAGGATTATTTGATATCGTGATTATCCATTTTACATATATTTCCTTTCTATTATAAAGCAACTGTGGATTTCCCCAGTTTCCCTTCCTGGTGCACTAACCTGATTCTCGGAAATGGTTATGACGTCCTGGAAGACAGTCCAAGTGACGATCTCATTGCATGTGGGCGTCGTCAAGGAGCTGAGTACCTGTAGAAGGTGTTGGTGTTCGCCGGCAGCAGGTTTTGGAGAGGGAACATTGTTGCCAGGTGTTCCTCGTCACCTGGAGTCAGACCGATAGTAGAAATCGTTACAAGCGTAGGCAGATATAAATTCCGAAGGCGAACCTGTGTCGCCTTTGTGTGATGCGATCTATCATCAAATAAGACTTGGGTTAAACCGCTCTTTGTGTTGCTTACTTATGAAGCAAATGAGAGCATGCTAAAAAGACGCCACATACTGGATAGAACTGCCCTAGGCTTTAATCTCGTAATCCTGTTGTTATTTGTACTAACCTGAATTTTGGATGGTAGCGAGCCCGTCGATGATCGGGGTGAGATTGGGGTTGTCGATCAGACCGCCCAGGAGCATAATGCCCAACACAGCAAGACCGTCATCGTACTGAACCGCGTTGCCAAGGGAACCGTACTCAGTCTTGAAGTGCACCAGGTGAAGCTCGGCAGCGTATCTAGACGGAAATGCAAACAGTATTCATATGCAGGTGAAGTATTCGTGGCATATATCAGTACATTGAAAAGTTCCACTTCTGAAACTCTTTAATCCTTCTTTAACTCACGCGATCCCATTGATGGTGTGCTCAGATCCCTGCGTGCTGACGCTGCCCCAGTGGAAGTGCAACTGGGCGAAAGTGTATTTTCCGCCCAACTCTCCGCCGCTGACTGAGGGAAGCTCATCGACGTCTGTGATGTTCCACGCAACCTTAGCTGAAGGAGGAAGGATAAACAGGCTTCTTAAATTACTTAGGATAACGCACACTGGATCCAAAATACCGGTCTCTACGTTTATATGAAAAAAAGTGAGGTATGTGAAACTTTTATTCATATTGGAATCTTCTGACCCAATACTATGATACTATGATCTCTGTGGAAGCAATTAGGGTTGATTTTAGTGATTCTTCGAAACGCGGCTTTTGAGTCGATATCGACAAATTTTGTGGCAGTCGCTTGTTAGAATATCCATGAGGATATTTAAAGAGGAAATAGAGACAGAGGAAAGGAAACTAAGCAGAGCACACGTAGAGAAGGTCATATTCACGCAAAAAAAGCCTTTGATAATACCAACTACATTATTACCATCATATTCGTAACCACCACCAAGACACGAGGAAAGCACACTTAGGATAAGTCGAATCGTTTAACAAAATGCAGTTTAAGGCAATACAATAAAAGAGAGTTGACGAGGAAATACCAATAAAAAATTGAATGAGTTATTGCTTACCTGTGATTCTTATACCCCTTTGCTTTGATTGATACTCTCACCCTCTTTTTCTGGTCCTCCCTGTTCCATTTCCAGCTTTTCTCGACTCGCATTCTTTCTCCTCCCCTTTGCTCTCTCGCACGCCGTCTGCCAATGGGAGTTACAATGAGGATTTTCATGAGCCAGTTCAGTGTATTCTGCCAATAACCCAATCCAACAAAGGACTCTTTGTTAAATTATTAAATCCAACCCCCACTTCCCAATAGGCCCACACCACCTGCAATTTACTACTTTACTTTACTACTTTACTACTGAAGTGTGTCAGAAGTCACACTTCAGTAGTAAAGTAGATTTTACTTGAAAAAGGCTTTGGATTTGTAATATCCTTCATGATGTGCTAATGTTTTAAAAGGATACAGACTTTTACATTTCTGATAATTAGCAAGAATTCTGTGTGAACCAGTCATGTCTTAGGAGCCTTGCGGCTGTCTGCAAATGTCGTGGGTTTGTATATAACTATATATGTATTTCTGTGGATGGATATAGTGTTAAGCGGAACAAATGATACATTTACCCTAATACACCGCCGGCCAAAGTCGACTCTCGCATCTCTCGGGCGGCGCAGCGCAGCGTGAATGACGAGGCAGCGAGCCGACGTTCTCGCTGCGTCCGGACAGTAGGTGCTGCTGTGGTCGCTGCGGAAGGCGAGTTGAGACTGCTGCTCCGTGGGGCTCTTCGCCGTCTTTATCCTCCCGTCACGTCCCTTCTGACCTCGCAGCTGCCCCCCTTAGACACAGGTGAACTTTTTACGGCCGTGGTTCCACACAATAGCTGTCCAATAAAATGTGGATCTATACATACGAATAAAAATACACGCTTATGTACGTATGATTTATATCTACCATTACACAGATGTACATAATGATGTATACCTATCGTGATTATCCTATAAGATATATATATATACATATAGATAGATAGATAGATAGATAGATATGCGTTATTATCATTAGTATTAGTATTATTATGATTATCACTGTTACCATTATCACTCTTATTATTATCATTGTTTTGGTATTATCATCATCATTGTTATTAGTGTTATAATCATTATTGTTATTAGTATTATCATTATTGTTATTAGTATTATCATTATTATTATCATTTTGGTATTAATATCAGTATTCTTATTATTAATAATATTATTGTTATTATTATCATTATCATTAATTGTTATTATCAATAGCGTCATTATTATCATTATCATTTTTAATATTACTGTTACTGTTATTGTCATAATTATTATTACCATTAATATCATTATATCATTACTATTACTATCTTTATTATCGTTGTTATTATTTTATATCTAATCATTATTATTATTACTATTCTTATTATTATTATTATCATCATAGTTATAATCACCAACATAATCAATATTATAATTATTACCATTATTGTTAATATTGATATTACCGTTATTATCTTTATTATTATTATTATAATTATTATTATTATTATTATTATTACTATTATTGTTATTATCATTATTATTATTATGATTACTATAATTGCTGTTATCATTATTGTTATTATTATCATTATTATTATCATAGTATTATCCTTTTTATGTGTTTATCATTGTTAGTACCATTATTATTGTTATTATCAAAATTATTATTATCATATTATCATTATTATTATTATTATTATTATTATTATTATTATCATTGCTATGACCATTATTATTGTTACTGGTAATGTTCTTGATATGACTATCCTTACTATCATTAATATATGATTTTTGTTGCTATGATAATCAAAATAGTAATTATTATTATCATTATCAT